TCTTTACCTTCTTCGACTTTTATGCAAAGAGGTACATTTAAAATGAGCAGACTCCACTTCAGCAGGACGCTGCGCTGTACATGCATCCGTCCGTCAGTCCCTGGGGCACAGAGAACCAGCGGTGCAGGGCCCCGTGAAGCTCAGATGGCTGCCATCCTTCAGTTATCACAGTACTGTACCTTTACAAGAGACAGCATCAGCACTGTGATAACTGAGCCAGGGCAGCCTGTCAGTCATTGCGGCCCCTCCGCAACACTGCCGAGCCCAGCAGGCACATCCTCCGTCTCCTCATCCCGTACGCATCTCAGAAACCCTGCATCACCCCCAACAGACGCCCAGCTGCTAGATGAAAGGCTCAAGAGCATTTAACAGAGGTGGCTTTGCATCTGAAGTTTCAGTCCAGAAAATTACCCAGATAATTAGTGCTATCTTAATGACCACGGTGGCTTCTGCAATGCAGCTCAAAGCATTTTGTAGTAGCAGTTTCTTCCAGACAAATCCACCATTGCTGGATTTAGTGAAGAAAGAAAGGGTAAGTAACCACTCTACAGCTATCACTAGAGAGAATGGGGGCACCCCTCTCTCCCCCCCTTAAATTCACTGGAGCCGGACAGCAGCATTTGGTTCATGCTACTTGAGTATTGAATGTCATGAACCAGACAGTCAGTGGGTACAATGGCAGAGAGCCAGCTAAGTTTACGTTGCCATGCCACTTGCGAGAGCCGAGGAGCTGAATCATTAACAGCGCGAGTATGAGGGTAGCACCACACCGTGACCACGCTGCATACTGCACCGAGCCTGACAGGCTTTCGCCAGCGGAGCAGGCTGGCAGGCGGTGGAATTTTACAGCACTGCGAACACATTCAGTTGGGCTTAAACAGCGTTTGTCATACGCGCTTCTGGAGCCAGCATGGCAGACGCCCGTTCCTACGCCTGTCGATGGCTTTGACGGGAGCAGCGCCCAACGCCAGGCAGCCAGCTGTGTTCTCCAGGGACTGCAGCTGGAGTAAGCAGAAGAGGGGCCTAAAGGCTTGAGCTGCTTCAAGTATCCAGCTGGCATTTTTAGGTCATAGGATCCAAATACAAAGGTTTGAGGTAAACAATCCCACTGCAAACTAGTTAAATTACAAGCTTACATCAACCTATCTTTTAAACACACACCCCCTTTTTTTTTTCTTCCCTAAAAGCAGGCATTGCTGAAAAGATCACAGAACTATTTCTACACACACACACACCCCCTTTGGTTAAGATAATCAAATACATTGAGTTCTGAAATGAGTTTAAAAAACACAACAGTTTTACATAGCAAAAGTCAATGAGTTACTAAGTTTTTACAGAAAGTTCATTTATGATGTTGGACCTCACCAGTACAAGTTGATCTCATGCTTCTACCAGGAGGAAGCAGAAACTCCGAAAGTGGTACAACACTCTAAATAACTTACCTGGAAAAGAGCATGTCCTGAGATGTTATGGAGACTGTTTTTAGAAGAGAAATACGTAACACTCAGCTGGATCCAGCTATCAAAATGGTGTCTTACAAGTTTTTAACTCAAGAGGGCAATGGAGAGACAAATATGAAATATCTGAGGAGAAGCACGCAGAGGAAAAAAATATTTGTACATTTTAAAACAAACTACAAACATACATTACATAAAAAGGGGACAGTCAACAGATTACGCAATACTGATGCAAAACCACACAGATGACTTAAACATATAACCTAAAACTCAGATTTACCACCATTTGTAGATAAATCATTAAAGAATCTGCTGTTGCTAGAAAAACCACAACAAAAAACTTGGAAAAAAATATTAATAAATTCTGTGCATACCATAGTGACTTTTGAAAGGAAGGAAGCTGCACAACTCATGAACCATTTGCTCTCACTTTGGGGTGCTTTTACACCACCATTACTATTCCAGTAGAAAAATTCCACTGATTTCAGTAGAATAGCATAAATGTAGGATTGGGTATCCTACATCTCACAAGCTGAAGCGATGAGAGAAGAATCGCTGTTTTATAGTTCAAGTACGCCTTGACCACTGTTTTGGGATTTCACTCCGTGCTCCAGCAGTCACTATTACGCTATCTAACAGGAGAAGATACATGACTGCAAAGGTGAACAATTCCTCCCCAACACCCTCTGGCACAAAGACTGTTTGAGTTACACACATATTCTATGGGCTGATGCCATCTTCTCTAGAGAGGATCCAGCTCTTACTCCAATACAAATATGGTTTGTTTCCTTGCGCCTGACAGGCAGATGCCAATTTTTGCTTTGCTTCAGTCAGACTACAGATACACAGAGCTGATACAAAAAGCCTAAGCGGGTTCCCCATTATTAGCTGAAGAACCCCCTTTTTAAGCACAACCCGCATTAGTTTTGGAGTCTAGTACGCATTTTTGTTCTTGTTATTGCCAAGGCATCGCGTTATTTCCATATGCCTTTTAAAAGCCCTCTAGTTTCCAGCATTTGCCGCCAGTTCCCGCTTTTGAAAGCCTTGTAAGTTCATCTGGCTGGTTTTTAAACTCCAGTTCCACCTCCTGCCCCTTTGGGGCTGGCGATTCCACGTATTTTTTTTTGCCTTGTTTCGCATGAACCGAAATTCCTCTAGCATCACACTGACGGAATTACTGATGTGCCCTGACCACAACCCGCAAGGCTTACGACTCCCCACCCCTACGCACAGGTCAAGTATCTTCCAAGTACTACACGCCGCTCTCGCCCTGCCTCTGCAGAAGCTCACGAGGCGCGCAGGTGGCAAACCCGATTTCCACGTTGACTAGCGCTATTTCCATGCGCGCCAACAGAAAAAAAAAAATAAATAATGACCTGTAGAAGTCTGAAGAGGAAAGAAAAAACAAACAGCACGTTACAACGGTCTGGCGAGCGATTGCGGGCCTTCGATGACAGGGACGGAGGCTGCGTTTGAGGAGGAGGAAGGCTGTGAGAAGTGAGGGTCCCCCCCGGGCCGCCACAGCCGCTCCTTCCCAACTTTCCTTCGACG